ATACACACACCTTTCTTTCTTCATCCCTGGATTCTACACATGCCTATCACAACCTGTGCACTAATCCAGTGCACTAAATGCCCCAATAACAAGTCAGTGAGTGAAATGAGACAATCAGTATGTTCTCAAGTAAACTCACACACACAAAAATAATAAAAGACAAAACCACTGATCACCCGTGGGCAAGCACTTTTCATAAAGGGATCGCTCTGGATCTGACCAAATCAGCCCTCATCCTCCAGGAACCCTGCACATCACCTTCAAAACATGAGCCTGGGTGCTTACGTAGATAACTTTGCTAGATGCTACAAATCACAGACTTAATAAAGACACTGAACGGATGACTTATTACATCCATCAGTAATCCACTAACCCCTGGTTTTTGCCCTATGACGGCAGCGGTGTTAACTGGCCATTTCACCTTATGCGCTAACTACTTTTGGAAATCTATCTATTCTGCCTTGTATTTAGCTGTGACACATACTAAGCACCTTTCCCAGACCAGAAGAAGAGCCCTGTGTAGCTCAAAAGCTTGTCCCTTGCACCAATAGAAGTTGGTCCAGTAAAAGATAATGCCTCATCCACTTTGTCTTCCTAGTATCCTGGGACCAAAATGGCTACAACAACATTGTGAATATAGACCGCATTTTTGCTCTTTATTTCAAGTTTTCCCAGACAGTGTGAATATAAACCACTGCCCTCTACTGCAAAGAATCAGAACTCCTCTACTGTGTCTCATAGGCCTTATACTGCTACGGAAGATGCCCCTTTAGCTCAGGAGATGGAGCCTCCCAATGCAAACACACCCTAAATGTAATTAAATTGTGCGTGACTGTACAGGGCTGACCATGGTGGCCCAAGTGATTTGTTACAAAGCTTGCATTTCCTGAGAGGGATGGTGTCAAACATCTGGAGATTCATATAACAGTTATTAACAACTGTATTATGGTAACACCTAAAAGACACAGCCAAGATTGAAGCCTCATTGTGCTAGGCACTGGACAGCCAGATAACAGTCCCTGGATGAGACAGACAAGAGAGAGGGGAAACAGAAATGGTTTGCCCCTCGGCACACAGCAGAGCCAGGAACAGGAGCCAGGTCTCCTAAGCCTGAACCCGGTGCTCTATCCACACTGCATCCAAAAGCACCATCTGGTAGTGTTCTAGAGGAGCAACATGAAACCAATGTGGGTGTGACCGAAAGCGCCCCTGTAATCACACCTTACACACTATTGTAATCATCTTTGTAGCAAGAGGGGGTAACCAATTTCACAAGGACAAAGAACAAGCAGACACCGTTAATCAGCTGTCCTCAAGTGGACTGGCAATCGCCTATGACGTGGCCATTCCTTGGCAGCAAAGGAGGGGCAGGAACAGATCAATTTGCATGTTGGCAAACAACAATATGTCTCCACAAGACTCCATGTCTCCATCCTCACATCTGGAAGGAACTTTATCTAAGGGAAGCTCCGGGAGAAATGTATTTCAAAAGGTGAACGGACTATAGAAATGAGGGGCAAACACACCCCAGGTTTATCTTTCTCTCTTCCTCGCCTAAGAAAACAAAGGAACCATCCCTTTGATTTTGGGGGAGATTCTGACTCGAGAATTGGTCAGCCATGGTGCTGGGAACCTGTGGGTACATTGAATCAAGTCTAGCTTAGGTTTTAGCTACTAGAAAGTGTTTTATCTTTATTCCTCATGTAGCCATTCCCGCCTTTAGCATCTTATATGTGTACTCACTTAAGATTTCCCTGTGTAGTTAAATAAACTTGTTTTATTTTTTCATCAGGACTAAACCAATGTTGGATTTAAAATGAACGGTTTGGGTAACTTCAGTTAAAGCAACAAAGTCTACACTACAGTTTTGTCGGAAAAACTACCATTTTTCCGACAAAACTTGAGGAACGTTCACACTGCAATTGCAGTCTTCTGCAAGAAAATCAAAAGGACAGAATCCTTTTTGTGAAAGAGCTCTTTCGCAAAAATGTGTATGTGGACGGGGAAGAGGGAGTTCTTTTGGAAGAAGAGGAAAGAGGAAAAATCACAGGTGCCCTGATGGCCATTCCATCCACAGCAATCACAGCTTACACGTGTGATAGCATCTATTCAGTCTGGACAGCTCTCTTTCGAAAAAGCAGATTGCGTTTTTGCTGCATTTTTGCTGTGTGGACACGCTCTTTTGGAAGAAGTAGTTTCGGAAGATCTCTTCTGAAAAAAGCTTCTTCCAAAAGAAGCCTGCAGTCTAGACGTAGCCAAACTGGGTATATGGACCATTTCCACAGTCACTGGGCCTTGACTCTTTGAGCTACCCAGGAAAGGGCTGGACAGTGCAGAAAGCATATTTTGGGGAAATGAGGCTACATCTACATTGGCACCCTTTTCCGGAAATGCTTAAAACGGAACAGTTTTTCCCTTATAAGTATTTCTGGAAAAGTGCGTCTACATTGGCAGGATGCTTTTCCGGAAAAGCACTTTTTCCGAAAAAGCGTCCGTGCCAATCTAGACGTGCTTTTCCGCAAAAAAGCCCCGATCGTCATTTTCGCGATCAGGGCTTTTTTGCGGAAAAGACTACTGGGCTGTCTACACTGGCCCTTTTCCGGAACAGTTTTTCCGGAAAAGGACTTTTGCCCGAACGGGAGCAGCATAGTTTTTCCGGAAAAACAATGACGATTTTACATTAGATTGTCATTGCTTTTCCGGAAACGCACGCGGCCAGTGTAGACAGCTGGCCACTTTTTCCGGAAAAGCGGCTGCTTTTCCAGAATAAGTGGCCCAGTGTAGACACAGCCTCACGGTGGGGCTCCATGCTGTTAGGCAGTTTCTGAGCTGACCAGGTGGGGAGCTAGACCAACACAGCATTATGAGGCACCCAGGGTTATGGGGCAGGCTGTGACCAATCACTCACTGGTCTGGATTGCACCCTCGGACACAGCAGCAGGTTATGAAGAAGTCTGGTGGCATTGCCTGCAGCCCATGTTATAGTCAAAGAGTCGTTGCAGAGGTGCCCGGAGAGGCCGAAGAGAACAGCTAAGACGCGGCATTCCATCCCCGCAAACCGCAGGGCAGTGGGGGAAGGCAACCTCAGCTCTGTCCCAGCTATCGCTTGTGGCCTCCCTAATGAAGATAAATGGGCGGACTGGCTGCTGCCCTCCAGAGCTGAGGTATAACTCATAGCCTGGGAAGAGGGCAGGGAATACAGGAGGCTGCAGAAAGGCACAAACCACTTTAAAGGGAAATGACTCGAGCGGAAAAACGACCGTCATAAATCCCCGGCAAAGCACGGCCATTGCCCGCCAGCAGAGAGATGGGGAGCAGCCGACACACCTGAGCTGCTGCCTGAGGCAGCCTGCCTCTGCAGTGTGCACGCTGCACCACAGCCCCACGAACGGGAGGCATGAGAGCAGAGAAACAACCCCCCGTAGCCCTTAAATGGTCCTTTCCCCTCCCACACTCCCGCTGGTCAGGCCATAGCGAGAGGCTCCCTAGCTTCTAGTGTAACCCCCTAGTCTGGGTTCATCACGGGGCAGTGCCCCATCCACAAAGAATATGAAGCTGCGGCAGGAGCGGGTCTAATCCAGGAGTATGCGTACCCCTGGGGGCACACAGAGATGTTCCAGGAGGACATGAGCTCTTCTAGATGCTTGCTCAGGTTTACAATCAGCAAAGTCAGGACAAACCACAATTTCATACAGTGACTTGTTTATACTGCTCTGTACACAATGCCCTGGAATGTAAGGACACTACTTCCCCCCTGGTGGAAGGGTGTGCGAAAAGGAGGGAAAGGCTGCCGTTTGTCCGTCGGCGTGTGCTGGGACACCTGCATTTGTATGTCTCATTTTGCGGTGGCTGTTCCGGCCAAGCCGCAGCTGCTCAGGTCTCTGTTTCAATCCCTGCTTTGTAGACCGAGTGGACTCCCTCACAAATGACTTGCTTGCGAGGAAAATCGGAGGGGGCGGTGACGGGAGAGCCAAAGGAAGGCCTGCTCGGGCTATTGGCGCATGCAGAGTGACCTGGCAGCTTTCGAAACGTTGCTGTGTGTGACTCCTGAGTAGCTAGGAAGGGGGGAGTGGGCAGGGGAGACCACTGAGGAAAGCAGCAGCAAAGCACATCCAACCCAAAGGGACCTGCACCCTCCCCCAGGTGACTGGCAGAGGACTGAGGAGCCCTAGGGGCTGCAAATTTACAGCTGGTTGTCACTGTTACCATGGGAAGGCTGCTAGGTGACTTCCACGGAATGAGTCAGTGGCTCCGAGAACACAGACAGACGGATCCCCTTGGCACCAATAGGCACCAGTCCATCTAGCTGCAAGCAGGGCAAGAGGGTTTCTTCAACGTGCCAAAGGACAACTTTCCCCTCTCTGGTGCCTGCCAGCTTGTGGCCTCTAAGCTCCTTACAAGCCTGCACCCCAGCTGGGATGGGTTCAGCCCCTCTCCCAGGCAGGGGATGCCGTACAACCTTCCCTCCTGCAGAGCCCCATGGCGCACAACGGCCTTCAGGAGCTCTGGGAAATCAGGGTGGTGTCCAAGCCACCCTCACAAACCCCTTGAATGCTCGACAACAATACACCTGTGATCTTCGACAGCCCGCCTGGCAAACCCTCTCCATAGGCCTGGCAGGGAAGGTGGCTGAAAACAGGTGGAGTTCTCACCCTGCATGTCAAATTGTTTCCTACCCCATGTCCGGCTTTACTGGTGCTTCAAAAACCACCACAACAGAAACATCAGCCTAAACTTTTCTCTGCCCAGGGGAGGTTCCAACTCCTCTTATAGTCTGGCTGGAGCCCAAAATAATGTGTCTGCTAGTGTGATTCAGCGCTGCACCCCCACCTTCCCTGCCAGTCCCCTGGGAATATCAGTTCGATCCTTTCTAAGACCATCACAAGGTGCTCCCTGCAGCCAGAGCTTCTCTTTAGTGGCTGCACTTGCTGCTTCAGACGTTCAGGGGACAGTCGGCCAGCCGCTGAACAGGGCATCCCAAAGCAACTGGGGAGGCTCACCTGCTTCTCAGACATGAGGTAGAGGTGTTCATGATCCACTGAGAAGGCCATATCCCGTAAGATGGGGCCGGTGTCCACCACTTGCACGATCTCGTACTCCAGGGCACTATTGGTGGGGCCGTCCACGCGGATCTGCAAAGCAAGGACAAACGGGGAGAGAGAACGTGAGTGTCTTCCCGTCCTGGCACAGGGTTGGCAAGATGGTCGGGGGGGCGAGGCATGAGTAGGTCACTCCAGGGACGGTGGCCACCACGGCCCAAACACGGCTAGTCTTGCTCCTCGCATTCTCAGCCAAAGGCTAATCCAGTGAGCCAACACTTGGCCAGGGCATGTGGACATCCCAGAGGGATGGATAATGCAAGTAACCATCTATGGCAATGGGCCAAGGTACATTGCACCCCATATAACGTTCCCAGCTGGGGGGCATGCCTAGGGGGGTGGAGGTAAAGGAAAAAGGATACATGTGTTGGAGACTCTATAGGAAATTACCGACACTGGATTTCAAGGGATAGTTTATCCACACACAGCAGATGTGCCTCCATCCCCAGACCCCACCTGGGCCCCAAAATAGGAGCACGGCAGAGGTAAGGCAAGGACAGGGCTGCCCACAGACTCCTTCCTCACAGCATAATACCCATTGGTGGGTGCGGCACGAAGATAAGGCCTTTTCGCACCACTGGGCTGTCGTTTCCAACCGCACATTGCGATCAACCTCCAGACGCAAGCCCACCCCGGCTTAGAAACTCATCCAGCCAACACGCTTGCACAGCCCACAACACCCTCCCAATATGCACACACATACTGGGCCACTGTCCCCCTACACACACACACCCTTCCCCACAGACACACTCCTGCACCACCGAGTCACTGTCAGAACCATGCCCAAGCCCAGCAAATGCGGATCCAAACCTAGCTCCAAGGCACACTCGATTTGGACAGGTTTGTCCTGCTTGTTCCCAACCTTGGGGCTTTGTGCCCGGGACCACGGCACCAGAGATGAACACTGAAGTGCCAATGTCTTAAAAGACTGAACAGAAACATAGAGACACAAGTGCTCTAAGAGACTGAGAGCGCGTCCACACCCAAACGTGCAATTTTATCAGGGGCCAAGGGGATCAAAAGAGACCATCATAGGGATGTGGGAACTTCACCTGGGAAGGCAGGATCTAGTCTCTCTCAAGACACAGATGGGTGAGGGACAATGGATGGTGCTGGACTTTCAAGACCCTGTAATAATACTAGCTTCTTCTTACTCAACCCGTGTGTGTGTGTGTGTTTTCAGAAGACGGAAAGCGATCAGTCGAGTCGACTATCCGATAATCCTATGCTTATCGGATAGTCGACGTCGCTTACAGCCCTAACCTGGATGGCTCAGCTAGATTCCAAATCGCCACGTTTACGAGCGACTCACAGAAATACAAGCTCCAGCTACCCGTGTCCACAGCTGCTCTGGCAGGGCTCTGACAGCATCTGCAGGAGACGGAAGGGAGGCCCACAGGCTCCCACACAGCTCCCAGGGATTGCACAACGCCGACACAGGGCAGCAGCCATCGCGGTTCACCATCCCTCTCCACGCTGAGCATGCCACTCACCGGGCTGGTTCCCCCTTCGGTTTAGATGCAGTGTCGTGTCCTCATTTCCAGGCACCAGCCCAATGCTGCCAGGGTGGGGTTCCCAGTGCAGGGAAGGTATTTCAAGGGACGATAAAAGCAGGCTCTCCCCCAAACGGCAAGCAAGCATCACCACGAGATGTCTGCTCGGCAGGGGGCCTACGGCAGCTGCCCTGCACTGTGCTGGGAATGAAACCCCATTTGGGATTAGCTACCTGAGCCTGGCTGCACGCTGATGGCATTGGCCGCCTGCCCAGGGAAGCATCAGGGCCGCAGCGACTGTGCCGGCGCGATACCAAGAGTGCTCGAAGGAGACTGGCCTGCGTCCAGCTCCGGCACAGGCCTTCCCGCGCCAACGCCGTTACTCCGCGAGCTCGCTTGGAACGCACAAAGGCCTGAGAGGCCCCATTCCGATCTGTGGAAGCAACTAGATCCAACGCCCAAGCTCCCCGCCCTGGCCTCCGCCCCCAACCACTAGTGGGTGAGGGGATGGGGGAGGCCTGGAGCGTTGATCCACTTCACCCCACCCCTCACAGGCGCTCACTGGGGTCCCTGCTCAGCCCTGTGCCTAGGCTTAAAGAGGATTTGCCGGGAGGATTCCTCAGGGCTTTGGCCTGGCAGAGTGGCTGCTGGGGAACCAGCTGACAAGGAGGAAGGAGAGACCACGCATGGGTTACACCAGGCCTTCGCACACACATTAAACGAGATGGTAGGGGGAGAGCCCTCTGGGTGAAGGCTGGACAACCCAGTTGCCATCTTCATTTAGTTCAGGTACCGAGGACATGCCCATAGAGAGACAGGCACCTGCTTCAGAGAGTGATGAATGCTGACCCAAAGTGGGACGCCCTTGCAGAGAGGCTCACGCACGCCACCCAGCATACACAAGCCCCTTGCACAGTCAGACAGGCACACAGTGCCGGTACACGCACTTCAATCACGCTCACCCCTGCACTAGCAAATACCCCCACACTGAACAGATGCACAGCTACACCCGGTGAATGCCACACTCCTTCCACCACTACGCACAGTCCTGCCACAAGTGCGCACCCATGTACACCCGCACCGGCAGTCCATGTGTATGTGTAATGCCAACAGGCGGAACTGAACCTGGGACCTCTACAGCTTGAGCTAAAAGCCAGCATGCCCTCTCTTGGTACATGGTCTAAGTGTCATTAGATGGGACAGTGAATCCCCCCCCTGCAGGTGTGTGGGTTACACATGCACTCCTGCCTGTGATCAGTATGCACATCCACTACACTCACCTCTACACAGGGTTTACAATCACATTTGGGACACACACACAACCCCGTTACCAATGCATCCAACTCCAGCGACTGTACAGACAAATGCTCAACACATACACAAACTTATCTACCCCCAGTACCACTGCAGTAATCCCTACTTCCACACCTGGAGTACGCACACACACACACACACACACACAAAGTGCCTGTGTACACCCAGCACGTACACAATCACCCACCCAACAGGTTACACCAGGCCCTCGCACACACATTAAGCCAATCTGCTATCATGACATTAATTCTGCTACCTGGACAACTATAGTCCTGGGGTTTTATTCTGCGAGGCAGTTTGCTATTAAAACATCAGCATGATGCTTCACTGAGGTCGGCTGTCAGGGGACCTGTCCTGGCATCTGTTTGTTTGTTTGTTTGAACATTAGCCGGGTCTGGCGATTTATTTGCAGCCATTGAAGGAGCAGACAATAAATATCCTTTCCCAGTAGCAAACAGATGCTTGCACTCGAGCAGTCTGGCTAGCGTGGGCCTCAAAACGATCTCCTTAATGAGCAAACAATGCTATTCATCTTTAAAGATGCAGCCTCCTTCCCCTACACTCGCATGCAGCCTCCGCCACCGCTAGCCCCGGGGTAGTTCCAGCGAGACACTCATGAGCTCCGGAGGCCCAAAGAAGGAAGAAGCTTTCTTTGTGATGCTGCCACTCAGTAGCTTTATCTGAATGATTCCAGTAGGTGGGGGGGGCGTGGCTGGAACATGCTTCGCTGGGATGAATGGGTGACCGGTGCCAGGGAGCTGGTCTCCCTGACTTAGAAAACATTACTGGGGGAGCAGGGTATATGAGGTGAGTTGACAAGGAAGAAATGGGTGTAACTCACAGAACACTCCCTGTGAGGCTCATAAAACACGCCACACCAGTAGTGAAAAGACGACCTTTTTAAGCTCAGACGCAAACAGCTGCATCGTGCACTGTGATAACAGCCTTTTGCTACTGGATCGGCTACAACACCACGTCCTTACTTAGCACTTTCCAGCCACAGATCTCAAAAAGCGTTACCAAGGAGAGCAGTGACATACCCCCATTTTACAGACAGGGAAACTGAGCCACAGAGCAAGGATCTGACTTGCTCAAAGCCACACTGCAGGCCAGTGACAGAGCTGGGAGTAGAACCCAGCTCTCTGGAGTTCTCTGTGCACTAGGATGCACCATTTTTTCAGGACAGAGAGGAAGTGGGAAGGGGATGGCTGTTCGCAGAAAAACAGCCTCCTTGTCACTTGATCCATCCATTCTGCCTGCTTCTTTTTCCCCAAAAGGGCCTCTCCCCATGCTTGGGACATCACAGCCAGTTTCCCTGCATAATGTCATGCATTCATTCGGGCCTCTCCCCATGCTTGGGACATCACAGCCAGTTTCCCTGCATAATGTCATGCATTCGTTCTTTAAATCCTCACTTGGAACTCCACCCTGCTCCACAAGTTTACTTACAGGGCTGCAGGATGGCAGCGTGCTGCTTTATAAATACAACCAGTGTGAAAGGAAACACACACGGATCAAGACGTAAGTGGGGAACAGCGCATTCACATAATACACCGAGTGACCCAGTTAACCCCTTAGTGAGCACTTTACTACATAAGAACATCAGAACGGCCACACTGGGTCAGACCAAAGGTCCATTTAGCCCAGGATCCTGTCTGCCGACAGGCCAATACCAGATGCCCCAGAGGGAGGGAACACAACAGGTAATCCTCACATGATCCTTCCCCTGTCTCCAACTTCCAGAGAAACAGAGGCTAGGGACACCATTCCTACCCATCCTGGCTAATAGCCATTGATGGATCTAACCTCCATGAATCTATCTAGCTCTTTTTTGAACTCTCAAGTTCAAAATTCTAGCCTTCACCGCATCTTCTGGCAAGGAGTTCCACAGGTTGGCTGTGCACTGAGTGAAGAAAAACTTCCTTGTGTTTGTTTTAAACTGGCTGCCTATTCATTTCATTTGGTGGCCCCTAGTTCTTACGTTGTGGGAACACTGTGGGAAGAGGGCGTCGGGCGGGAAGACTGTGATCCTGTTGTTCCTTCATCTGGCTGAAGAGGCAGCAAATGAAGATGTTGTTTGAATGAGAATCGTTTTAAAAAAACAATCGGGGCAGAGGAATGCAGAGAGTTCTGGCGGGATCAGCAAAGTTGCCTCTAAGGAAGATGCCGCTCAACCCTCCCTGGGTGATGTCAGCAAGGAAATCCATCTGCAGGCCAAATGCTTCC